AAGGATTTTGGTCAGGACATTGCAGTGACAATCCTGAACACTTTGAGTTTGTATTTTAAAGGGAAGGCCAGGAGAACAATCGAGGTTTAGTTTTGGAAATGTGGCCCATCAAATCAATCGAGAGGGTATGGGTAATGTGATGTCAAAGTTTCTTTAAGATCAGCTGAATGGGCTACAACATGGGCAGGCAGTTGAAAGAAAGCCTTATGGCAATATTCAACTGTACAAAATTTTGCCAGTGGGATGGGAACAAAATTATGGTGCCAAGCAGTGGTTAACTTTGGCAGTGGTGTTTAAGAGACCATTTAAGTATGGTGTCAGTGTGCCAAAATACAGCTAAGCAGCTGTTGTATTGCCAGGTGGGGCTCCCATGGCCTGTGGTGTCCCAGATCTAGGCTATTACCTACCCACCTAAAATAGGTATAGCCAGGCTATGAAAAGCCAGAAGACCAAGCAATAGCATTTGTTTTGTGTGAGTGCTAAAACTTGAGGAACCAAGGGTCCACTAACCACATGGGCATAGTGTGGAGCAGGAGATGTTTCAGGTCTCTGTGGCTGGTCGGGGGGGGGGCCTGTATTCCTTAGTGAAAGATCCAGTTTTAATGAATCCAGTTTTAACCTCTTGGCGTCTCTGCTATTCACACTCCTGTGGGTGTGGCTCCTGGAGCCATGATCTCTACTTCCTGAGTAAGATTATTATGTGCATTAGAAATTAAGTATCCTCTATAGCCAGGAATATTTGGCAAAACTGTTGTTTAGGCTAGACAAATCAACATTATCAGGGTGTCAGACAATTCTGGCAGCTAGCCAAAGGGGCATTTGATCATGAGAGGATCGTAACTCTCAGTAATTCAAGACTTGGTCTGGCTACCATCCCAATCATGGTATGGGGTAAGAACAAAAAGCATAGATGAAAGAGGAGAAACAAGGAGGAATGTCTCCTTTAATATGATCTTTGTCAACCCTGAAATGTGAAGTGTCACTGCAGAGGGCAAGGAAAGGTAATTGTTTTCAGTGCATTTTGATATGGATTAGAGGGCCTCAAAAGCCAGGAATTTGGTATAATGAGGTCCAACGGTAGGTAAGAGTCTGATTTATAAGATCATGTTATTTTGTAATTTCTGTAAGGTTTAAGTAGCTATTGTGGCAGTCTGTTAAGTCCAGAAGCCTGGTACTGATAGGGAAGGTGAAACGTCTATTGAATGTCTTATTCTAAAGTGAGAGATTTGTTCCATGTAGACAATGTCTGGAGCTCCAAAGAGAATGAGGAGTGTTTTTAAGAGGCCTTATATGGAAGCTTCATAATGTCTAGAGAGGTTGACAAATATATCTGAGTAGGTATCCACCACTGTCAAGGCATAACAAGTGGCACTGGCAAAGGGGGACATAGCCTGATAGTCACTTACTAGCAAATACAAGAGTGAGAGTCCCTCCTGGGATGGCATCCCTCCATTGTATGGCCAGTGACAGTTCTCACATAAAATGCATTGACTTGTTAGCCATGACAGAAGAGTGAGAAAGCCCTTTGTTTTCAGCCCAAGCTTCAATGGCATGGTTCCTTTATGACTGACATTTAGTGGGCCCACTGGGCCAAAGATAGAAGAATGGGATCTGGAGGGTCATCTGACAAAGTTTTCAACTGAGTTTTTAAAATTTGTTCTGTCAGCTTGGGAATTAAATTGGGCCTTAGCAGTCCAAACTTTGGTGTGGGCAAAGACATAGATGATCTTGATTAGTCTCTATGGTAAAGTTCTTCACCCCAAAGGGGGCAGTCTTGAATGCGAAAATTTTTGCCATTGGCAGTTCCAAAGAACTAGAACTGGCAATGGCATGGGACTCTGTGGAAAAGTGTCACTTCCTATTCATTTTAGCATTATATTATCATCTATGTTCTAGAAGTTATTTACAGCAAATGGATTAGTATGGTGGAAATAAGATGGTGTGTCTCCACGTTCAGTGATATCATGTTGGGCAGCTTGAAATTGGCCATGGTGGGAGTCTTTATACCAGGGAAATTGGTAAACACTACATACCAGTATTAATTATATTACTGGAGGTCTAGACTTAAAAACATGATAGAGAATATGTGAATAGTGCAAATTAAACTTAAAATGCATGATGTATGTATTCATTATATTGTGCATAGCACAAAAAAGTTGAGGAAAAAAATCAGCTGTTTGTTATTGAAAAGGGAAATAACAATTCATAAAAAAAGAGGCAAAATATGTGAACGTGCATTTTACCAAAGAAGATACACAAATGGTAAATAAACATATGAAAAAATTGCTTAACATCATGGAAACTATTAAAACTACTGCTTGCTTATTAAGAGAATAAATTCAAACAATTTACCACACCAAGTATTGGCAAGGATGTGGAAGAACAGGAATTCTCATACAGTACTGGTGGGTACCAAAAGTGAACAGCAATTTCAGATCAGTTTAGCAGTTTCTAAACTTAAACATTCACCTATCCTATAACTCAGGCATTATACTTCAAATTATGAATACAAGAGAAGTACAACATAAATATGTACAGTACATATGAGGTCAGACAATTTAGTTCACAAACTCATCCTAGAAAAAGTGCTACATACCTCATTGCTGAATATCACTACAGTCACCTTCGAAGTACTCCCCTTGGGAAGCTATGTGCTGATGCCAGTGCCTAGTCCACCCTTCAAAGCAATTATGGAACTTTTTGTGGAATGGCCATCAGAGCTGTCGTCGTATTACTCTTGATGTCCTGAATGTCATCAAAAAGTCTTCCTTTCAATATTTCCTTTATCTTCGGGTAAAGAAAAAAGTCATTAGGGGCCAGATCAGGTAAGTAGGGAGGGTATTCCAATACGGTTGTTTACTGACTATAAACTCCCTCACAGACAGTCCCATGTGAGCCAGTGCATTATCGTGTTGCAAGAGCCATGAATTGTTGACAAAAAGTTCAGATCATCTAACTTTTTCATACAGCCTTTTCAGCACTTCCAAATAGTAAACTCGGTTAACTGTTTGTCCAGTTGGTACAAATTCATAATGAATAATCCCTCTATCAAAAAAGGTTAGCAACATTGGTGCAACAAGTTCACAAACTTAATTGTCATACCTAGTATAAAGTATTATACACAAATGTTCTAGCAGCTTTATTTGCAGTGGCCCAAACTGGAAGTAACCCAAATGCCCATAAAAAGATGAATGGATAAACAAATGGTCTATCCATGGAAACAATATTACTCAGCAAATAAAAGAATAAACTACTCATATAAGCATCACTGAAGAATCTCAAAATAGGGAACCATGAATGAAACCAGAAAAAAATAGGCATTTCATGAATGGAATCTAGATTTTATTTGATTCATAAAATTCTAGAAAATACAATCTATTTTAAATGTAAATCAACGGTTGCCTAAAGGCCTGGGGAGGGGAAGGGCAAATTATAAAATGACATGAAATAAAGGGTGATGGACATTATCCTAATTATGATGAGGCTTCATGGGTTTGCATGCATTTCAAAATTTAACTAATTGTACACTTCAAATAGTGCAGGATATTGCATGTCAACTATACCTGAATAAAGCTGTACAAAATGGTTCAAAAGAAAAATCTAGATCTCCCATTCAGCAGGTTTGGCAAGCCTATATTGCCTTTCCTGATGACCTTGGAGAAGTAGCCTTGACTCCTTGACAATGTATTAACAAATATTGATAAGCAATGAAATCTGTCTCCACATGAGTCAACAGGAATGCTAGGTCACAGAGCCATACCACTGGACTAAGAGATCTCATTTCAACCTATGCTTGTTTTCCTGCCTGTGTAGCAATGGCCTTTCGGTGAACATCCCAAAAAGGTTATGGGAATCCACACAACCAATAGCTTATTATTTTCTTTGAAAATGACCTCGGTTACAAAAGACATACATGCCTTGAGGTCCTGAGAATTTCTGTGCCCATTGATCCTTCAGAGTCACAGTGAATGGAGCACTTTTGGTGCAATTTTAGCAGGGGCACACTCCATTTACTTTTCTGTAATCTCTACTCCAATGTTATATACCAATTATGGTTTCCCAGGGCCCTGTACTTTACAGTGAAACTAGCCTGTGAATTCTGGGTATTAGGACAAATGGCTCCTTTGCAGGACCTGGGGTACAAATTCCCCTTGACACTGCTGAGCATTATGTGATCAACACTGTGAACAAGAAAAACAATTCACATTGTTTTCAGAAGCACTTGAGGTTGTCACAACTTCCTGACTCCTCAGGGTGTTCCCTGAGCCCACCAAAAAATCCTAACATCCAGTCCACAAATAAGGACCACAAAGCCCTGCAGTCTTTCCTAGGAGACTTTGGACAACAATGTGTATTAGGCCAAAACTAGAGAGGTATATTCTTCCATCATACTGTAATCTGAGGCACACAGAGCATTGGATCCCCACAAAAGCTGTTCATTCCTTAATGCTGGCAGAGCCAAATTGTTTTCAAATCATCTCACACAGTGAATAGAACCCAAGATCAAATGTGGCTTAAACATTGCCTTTATTCTTGCAAAATCCAAAGCAAGTAGGCAGTTCTCAGGTTGGTGACTTGGAAGTTGGGAAAATCCCAAGTATGTCAAATGAACCTAACATGTCCTTAAAAATGTAGTCCTCTATTTTTTTTAAAGATTTTATTGGGGAATTGGGGGAGGGAACAGTGTTGGGGAATCGGGGAAGGGAAACAGACAAGTTGCTGTCCTTTTGTTCTTTAGTCTAGTTGTGGAGGACATTGCTTCATTGGCCCATGTTGGTATTGTGATCATTGTGCTCTTCCCGGCTGAGGCAGATTGGTCGCCAGCCATTGGTTGGCCACTCATGGCGTCTCATGCTGGTTGCCGGCCATTCACGGTAGCTTACAGCAGCCCACTGCAGCCTATGCCATCGCTGGTGACTCACAGCAGCCCAGCTCCAGGTTGAGCTGTTGTTCACCATCTTAGCTGTAGAGGGTGCAGCGTCACTGGCCCTCATGTGGGATCCAAACTGGGCCCTGCTGCTCAGAGCTGGCATCCAAAGCCAACTTTTAACCAATGCGCCACTCGGCCAGCCTAAAATGTAGCCCTCTTGACAAGTCATCAGAAGAACTCAGATTGGGTCCACTGGGCCAAAACTGAGCTAGGTCCACACCCTAACTTGTAAAAGAGAAAGGAAAGATGATCCCAGAAGGGCTAAGACTACTCAGGATTTCCTCCAGCAAATGAGGGGACCAAGGTCACCTTTCCTGAGCTGGTTAGGGTGGTGACTGATGCACACTATGTGGATCTGCCAGATGGGAGAGGTGCCATAGAAACTGTCGAGGGCCCTGAGCAGGTTACAAGTGTAACACAGATCCTTAGATTCCCACATATCTAGAACTTAAGAAGCTCCTCACGGTGGATTTTCCAATGTATGGGTTTTAATTCAGGTAAATGGCTCCCTCTCAAGTTCTTTCCTCCAATGTAATTATACTAAAAGGAAACTGCACACCACGGTACATCTAAGATCTTTCTCCAGTGTGAAGTCTCTGGTGTTGAATGAGGTCTGATTTGCAGCTAAAGGATTTGCCACATTCACTGCATTCATAAGCCTTTTTTCCACTGTGAATTCTCCGGTGTTGAATGAGGCTTGAGCTTTGGCTAAAGGATTTTCCACATTCCCAGCACTCATAAGGCCTTTCTCCTGTGTGGACTCTCAGGTGTTTAACAAGGTTAGATTTGCAGCTAAAGGATTTCCCACATTCACTGCATTCAATAGGCCTTTCTCCAGTGTGAACTCTCCAGTGGTTCTTGAGGTTGGAGCTATGGCTAAAGGATTTTCCACATTCCCCACACTCATAAGGTCTTTCTCCTGTGTGGACTTTCCGATGTGAACTGAAGCTAGAGCTTTGCTTAAAAGATTTCCCGCATTTACTACACTCATAAGGCCTTTCTCCAGTGTGTAATCTTTTGTGGTGAATAAGGCTGGAACTTCGGCTAAAGGATTTTCCACATTCACTGCACTGATGAGGCCTTTCTCCAGTGTGAACTCTCCGGTGGTAAATGAGGCTAAAGTTTTGACTAAAGGACTTCCCACAATCACTGCACTCATAAGGCCTTTCTCCAGTGTGAACTCTCTGATGTTGAATGAGGTTGGACCTTTGGCTAAAAGACTTTCCACATTCTCTGCACTCATAGGGTTTTTCTCCAGTGTGAACTTTCCTATGGCTATTAAGACTGTAGCTTTGGCTAAAGGACTTCCCACATTCATTGCACTCATAAGGCCTTTCTCCCGTGTGAATTCTGCGATGTATAATGAAACTGGAGTAGTAGGTAAAGAATTTTCCACATTCACTGCATTCAAAAGGCCTTTCTCCAGTGTGAACTTTCTGGTGTTGAATGAGGTTACATCTTCGGGTGCAGGCTTTTCCACATTTGCTGCATTCATAAAGCCCTTCTCGAGTGAGGACTCTCTGATTCTGAGCACGTATATCTGTGTATCTAAAGGCTTTCTTGAGTTTTCCCCAGTTGTGATGACTTTTTCCACTGTGAAAGACAGCCTCACACTCATTACTCTTGTTTGGTTTCTCCCCAGTGTGAGTGACCTGTTGATGAAGAAATCCCAGGCTGGCTAAAAAGTCCTTCCCAATCTCTCCACAGGCAAAGGGCTTCCCTGACACATAGACTATGCAGCTCTTCGTAAATGAGACTCTGTCCATAGAACTTCTGAAGGGGCTCTCTCTAATGTCCTGTCCCTGGTACCATTGAAGGTTGATGGGGAAATAGAATCGCTTCTCACATGTGCATGTTTTCTGCCCAAGATATGTTCCCTGGTGCTCAGCCAAGCATGAAATGTCTCTCAAGATTTGTCCACACATCTCAAAGGGTTGCGCCTTCTGGGTAGACAAACCTGCCTTAAGAGTCCTGATCTGTGATGCTTCTTCTACATAAATGCTCTGTTTAGGTGTCTCCTCATCTTCTACTCCATTCCAACAACCTGAAAACAAAGAAGTGATGATGAAATATATGTAGACTTTTTGGGAGGGGACAAAACCATCACAAACGTACATCTGACACTTTAAAGAATCAGTCCATGAGACTGTTTTTAGGAAAAGGGAGTTGGGGTTAGACTGAGGAAGCTGCTGCTGTGTACTACTGGGTTCCTAAGGTCACAGAATTGTGCAGGTTTCATCTGGCACAGGACATAAGAAAAGGGTGTGGCCCAGTGGTGAAAGGCATGTTCTATAAGTTATTCTTCCAACAATGGCTTTTAGCAGGATTATATCTGCTGGTGACATGTGATGCTCTGCAGAAGTGTATGTCCAGGCCCATGAAAATCTGATTAGGACATAGTAACTGGTGTTCAAGGATTATTAAAATATATGTGCACACTTCAGGATACACCAATGCTGGAAAGCACTATAGAGGAAACAATGTGAGGAATGAGTGAGATAAGTAGTCCAGAGGGTGGGGATTAGCCCTGGGCCAGACTCAGAACAAAAAGGACTTGTAAAAATGACAAGTTGGCACAATGTCAAGAATGGGGAAGGGAAGGTAGAAGTAAAGTGTGGTCACTGGTAATGGTACCAAAACATAAGTCAAATAGGGTGGGTTCCTAGTATGATGAGAACAAAGCCTTGATGTCACATCCTCTAATTGCCATTCACCGGGTCAGTACTCCTCTGAGCCCCTATTATTGAGACTGGAGTCAAGTCCATCCTGTGAAGCAGGAGGACTCCTCCCCTATCCCCAACTGCGCAACTACACAGGACCTGGATGATTCAAATCCTAAGGGAAAGACAGGACGGATCCATGGCCAGTACTGGACCATAACAGCTCAGCACATAACAAATCAGAGGAATATATGTAAATACTACAAAAAGTGCCTTTGGATACAGTTAGAGGGAAGATGGCAGAACACTAAGATTCTGTCTCCCTACTTAGACAATAACTACACTGGTAGAATCAATCTGACATAACTATTTTGTAACTCTAGAGTCTACTGAAGATTTGCAACATGCTAAAATTGATTTCATTTAAGTCAATTTCAACTCTTAGCATGGTATTGGTTATCCAGTTCCCAACTGTCCCAGTTCCCCAACTCTGAACCCAGGGGCAAGCAGCCATTCACATGTAACTGGAGTAGCTTGCAGAAGTTGGGGTGGCAATAAGGACCCTGTCCGCTAAATATCAGTGATATGTACTCTGACTTCTGCTTCTGATGGTGGAGATACAACAGAGATGTGGCAGCCATTGTTGCAAACCACATCACCATTGTTGCAAAGCCCCTACCTCACTGGCTGAACTGACTTCACAGGGGATTTAAATGGCCGGCATCCATTCCCTCCACCCTCTCTTCCTTCATTTTTTCTCTCATTCTCCCTTTGGGAGGCAGAAATTCAAGGAGTAGAACATTCAAAATGAATCATATATACAGAGGAATTTAGAAAGTCATTACTTTCTAAAAGCACAGGCGTAGAGAAAACCTGAGAAGACCTGAGAAGACCTTAAGTTTACACCTCAGACTATTGTGCAACACAGAGTTACCCTACAACCATTAAACAAACAACAGCAAGCCCCCCACACCCAGGAAATCCTAGGGAGGGAGGTGATCAGATTTCTTGAGTAACCACATCGTAAGACACAAATATCTAGTTTTCAACAAAAAGAAAATCAAAGAACATACAAAGCAACAGGAAAGTAAGCACAGTCTAAGAAAAAAAAATCAAGAGAAAATGACCTTGAGAAAGACCAGATGGTACACGTATTAGAAAAGGGCTTTAAAACAACAGTCTAAAAGATGCTCAAAGAACCAAAAGATAATATAGACAAAAATCAAGAAAATGTTGCAAAAGCAAAATAAAAATATCAATAAAGAGATGGGAAACATAAAGAATCAAAAAGAAATTTTGAAGCTGAAATGTACAATAGCTAAATGAATAAAATCACTAGAGGGATTCAAAAGCAGATTTGAGCAGGCAGAAGAAATAATCAGTGAACTTGAAGATATCAAATTTGAGGAACAGAAAGAAAAAATACTGAACAAAAGTGAACACAGCATAAGGACCTGTGAAATACCATCAGGTGGATCAACATATGCAATGTGGGAGTCCAGAATAAGAAGAAGAGAGAAAAAAGGACAGAGAGTTTATTTGACGAAATTACAGCAGAATTTGTGTCTGTGGATACATGATTATTATGGTTGCACAACAATGATACTAAATGCCACTCAGAAATGGTATTTAAAAATAATTCTTGGGCCGGCCGAGTGGCGCGATGGTTAAGAACTGGCTTGGGACGCCAGAGGGCCCCGGTTCGGATCCCACATATGAGGGCCAGTGACACTGCCCTCTACAGCTAAGATGCTGAACAACAGCTCAACCTGGAGCTGGGCTGCCATGAGTCGACGGCGACAGTGTAGGCTGCAGCCCCTATGGCAGTGGGTTGCCATGGGCTACCGTGTGTAGTCAGCAGCCAGCGTGAGCGGCCAGCAGCCGCAGTGAGCGGCCATCCAGAAGCCGGCGACTGATCTGCCTCGCCCGGGAAGAGCGCAATGATGGTGCCAAGTTGGGCCAGTGAAGCAACGTCCTCCACAACTAGACTGAAGAACAAAACGACAGCAACTTGTCTGTTTCCCTTCCCCCAATTCCCCAGCACTGTTCCCTTCCCCGCAATACCCCAATAAAAATCTTTAAAAAAAATAAAAATAAAAATAAAAAAATAAAAATAATTCTTCATTTCAATTCTCTGGTTTCAGAATTTTGTTGCTATGATTTCAAGAAGCTGGATTGCAAGAAGCAGTTGTCATCCACTTATTCCTCCACTGAGTTAGCTCAAAAACAATTTAAATGTATGAACAACTAAAAAGAGTCTGGGGGAATAGAATAAAGAATCCAGAAATAAACTCTTGCATATATTATCAAATGATTTTCAAAAAGGAGATGAAGACTATTCAATGGGGAAAGGACAGAAGTTTAAAGACATGATGTGGGGAAAACTGGATATGCACATGCGTAAGAATGAAGTTGCACTCTTACCTAACATAGTATATAAAAATTAACTCAAAATGGATCAAAGATCTAAACTTAAGAGCTACAACTATAAAATTCTTAAAAGCAAACAGAGGAAAAGCTTATGACATTGCATTAGGCAATGATTCCTTAGATATGACATCACAGACATAAGCAACACAACAAAAATAGACAAACTAGACTTCATCAAAATGAAAAACTTTTGTGTATCAAAGGACGCTATGAAAATAGTAAAATAGCAACCCATAGAATGGGAATAGATTTGCAAATCACATATCTGATAATGAATTAATATCCAGAACATATCCAGAGAACTCCTAAAACTCAACATCAAAAATACCAAACAACTTTATTCAAAAATGGGCAAAAAACTTGAATAGACATTTCTGTTATATACAAATGGCCAATAAGCACATGAAGAAATGCTCAACATCACTAATTGTTAGGGAAATGTAAATTAAAACTATTGAGATAGTTTTATCCACTGGGATGGCTCCTATAAAAAAAACAGATACCAAATGTTGGCAAGGATGGAGAAATTGGAACCTTTGTGCACTGTTGGTAGGAATATAAAATGGTGCATGGAAATGTGGATATGGAAAACAGTATGGTGGTTTCCTCAAAGAATTAAAAATAGAATTATCATATGAAACAACAATTCCAGTTCTGGGTATATACTCTCCCAAACTGAAGCAAGGACACTAAAGATATTTGTACACCATGTTCATAGCAGCATTATTCACAAGAGCCAAGTGTCCATCAATGGATGAATAAATAAAATGTGGTAAATACATATAATGGGGTATTATTCAGTCTTAAAAAGGAAAGAAATTCTGTCACATGTTACAACACAGATGAACCTTGAAGATGTTATGAATAAGCCAGACACAAAAGAACAATTACTGTATGATTTATGCATATGAGACACTTTGAGTAGTCAAATTCAAATAGAAAGTAGAATGGTGGTTGTCAGTGAAGGGAGGGAGGTACTGTTTAATGGGTAGAGTTTTAGTTTACAAGATGAAAAAGTTCTGAGGGTGCATGATTGTGATGGTTGCACAACAATGAGAATGTACAAAATGCCACTTAGAAATTGTATATTTTTTATTGTGTGTATTTTACCACGAATAAAAAAGAAAAAGAACCTTGTAGGAGGATCTTGCAAGATCAGTGAAAGTAGTAATCATGTAAGCAACTACAATTCCTGGCACAGTGAGGCATGAATAAATGTCAGATACAGAAAGGGAGCAATACTAGCGTGCCATAGATCTAGATAGTCACCCAGCAAGAGAGAAGGTGAGACAGGTGAGAATCATTAAGCTGACCTCAAAACTACTGATCCCCGAATCATTCTGAGAGACTTTGGGGAGGAAACAGGTGTTGCAGTGGTAAAGGAAGAGAAGTAGGCATGCTCTCAGTCTAGCCCTAGTAACCACTGCACACACCCCAGAAACTGGAGAAGAAAGCAGTGTCATGGTTCAGATATGAGAAAAACAAAGCTGCCTATGGGGAAGAGAAATGCAGAGCCTCACCTGGGGCACAAGGGTGGATGTGAGTCTTACCCAGCGAGGATGTAAGTACAAAGTTCTCCAGCATCACATCGTGGTATAGGCACCTCTGAGCCTCATCAAGGAGATCCCATTCCTCCCAGGAGAAATACAGGGCCACGTCCTCAAAGGTCACACATCCCTGCTAGGATAGAGACAGATGAAACCATGAAAAGCCTTACCCTGAAGACCCACATGTCTACCCCATGTCCATCCTCTTCCCAAGATCCTCAAATCAGAGGTGATACCAGATCCTGGTGCCACTGGTGTCTTCTCTCTCCTCATACTAGTAAACACTGTGTTCATGTTCACTTTTTTCTGCTCTGTAGTCAGACAGAGGCTGGTAAGACCTTCCTCCTCTAATCCAGACCTCCCATTGGCTCCAGAACAGATGCCTAACTTCACAGGCAGTCATTCCAAGCCTGACTCTTGCTCCCTCCTTCTTTTGTTCTCACCAGAAAGGAGACCTGCAATTTCCTGAACCAGCTTAGCCTCATCTCCAAGCACTTCGACATACTGTTACCTGTTTTTGTGATAAGTTTCCACATCCCTTTCCAATGATGGTCCTAAATGGGAACCCCTCCACATAACCCCCAGACTACACTCAAGACCCTGAGCTTGGCTGGGGATTCTCCAGGGTGCCCACACCCAAGGACTGGGGGAATGGCAGGTAAAGAGTCTGATGTCACCACAAATCCAGAGAACATGTGGGTTGGAACCAGTGAGGGTTTGGGACATCTCAACTTACCCGTGTAGGTTCCAACAGCACTTGTGCAGCCATGAGAACCTGTGGGAAGAGTCAGATCTTAGAAGGATGTTACCATGGTGGGGTTCCAGGGGCTCAGGCCTTCCCTGTACCACTGGGAGGCACCAGAGCCAAGCAGCTTTGGTGAACTGTCTAACCTCTGTGCTGCCTCTCACCACTTGTGTGTCCTTGGAAAAGGACTAAACCTCCCTCTGCTTCAATGTTCTCATCACCCCTACAGTCTATTCTATTGAACAGACTTTGGGGGATTTTTCAAATTCTATTATATTAGACGTTATCTCTTTTCCTCAAAATTCTCCACGGCTCCCAGGGACCTAAGAAGGAAGGTATAACTCCTCAGTGTAACACTGCAGTAGGACTCTACCCAACCTTTGTTTCCTGCAGAAGCAAGAAGGACACCAGGTTCCCAAATCCTACCGGCTCAGTGGCCTCTTCACGTCTTTACACAGCCAGCCCCTCTGCCTGAAACCCTCTCCCACACCCCGTCACACCGGATGTCACCCACGGGCGATTCACCGGATGTCACACCGGATGTCACCCACGGGGGTCTCACAGTCCCGGACGCCCAAGCCTGGGCTGCAGGATGTGAGCAGGCGCCCAGTTTCCGGGGCTTTAGGGTTCGGGTGGGGTGAGGGTGGTGAGAGCCCGGGGGACGCGCACTCACCTGAGCCGGGCCCCTCAGCGCGGCCGCCACCATCGAAGCCCCAGGGCCGAGTGAAGTGGTGACAGACGAGCGACCGGCAGGGACCGGGACACCGACTTCCCGAGGCCGGTCTCCCAGGAGGCGATGTCCCCTACCCTAAACCCGCCTCTGTGTAATGGAACAAAGTCTTCTCTCGCGCTGTGTCGGTCACCTCGGCCCCGACCTGACGAGCGGAAAGCGGAACCTCAAACCTGGTGAACAGACCTGAGAGTCGCTTAAATGAGCACCACGAACCGGCCGGACGTCCCGCCCCAATGCGGTTTGCCCTCAGGGAAAGACCCCCTTCCTGGACTTTCATTGGATTGACTCCGCTGCCGTTCAATGCATAGCTTTCTGGGTAATGAAGTTTCCACAGCTGCACAGATCTGGACAACTCACAGCAGAAGCTCCCAGAGAAACGGTTAAGAGGCCGCTGGGAAATGACTTCACTATACTTGTAGGGTGGGAAAGGGGCTTCACTCTTTCGTAAAGGGTCAGCAGGCCGATTTCTGGGGAGCCTTAAGTGCTGAAGTGTTAAGACATTTCAGACTCAATGAAGCTGATTCAAGTTGACACCCACTGGTAGATGGAAGGGAATAAACATTATCTTATTGCTCTTCAAATGCACGTAGTGTGAAGCATTAACGTCATTTTTGTGAGCTTTAGTAGGTTCCATCTGGGACCAAAAAGGACATCACTCAGGGCCATGGTGGAGAAAATAGAGGAGGGGTATTAGACAGCCCTGAAGCATGGGCAAGGTGGGATCTGGGCCTCTAGTCCCCACAGAAAATGTCTCTCCCGACTTTATGTTCAGTGATTGTGCCCAGCACAGTAAGAAATATTGTGTTATCCATAAAACTTAAAATTGTTTTATCTACAAAACATAAAACTTTTATAAATGCCTATACTTTTCCCTAATATACATAGAAAGTTTTTAAGGTGGAAAAATCAAATTAAGTATTGTTTATAATATATTGTTTATATATTATATAATATGTATTATATAATATATAGTAAAACAAATAAATTATTGTTTATTAAGTATTACTCTATATATTTTAAAATAGAGAGTAAAAAGTCTGACAATTCTACCTCCTGGAGAAAACCCATGTTGGCAGCACAGTATCTTTTGTCAACTGATGGTCATTGGCACCAATTCAGCAACAACAGAAATCCCCAATTTGGGGTACAGTGAAGAAGGAAACTATATACCACACAAACAGCTCAAACACATTAGGTTTTATTCAGATGATAAAACTATGAGGGTTATTACAGTGTACTAGTTCTATATATATTCATAATGGAAACTTTTGGTCCATGCAAGGCAGTAAGGTCCAAGGAAGGCATCACCAGGAATGTGACACAAAAAGTATGGGAGAAAGGGCTTTATAGAAAGTAGAAATAATGAGGGTAAAACTTCTAAAACAGGGTTGTGTTTGGTATTTCTCAGAAGCATCGAGAAGCCAGTGAGTTTGTAGCAGGGTGAGTCAGAAGTGAACTGACCCTGTGGTTTTCTGCCAGATAGGAAACATTGAGGGCAGCTCAATGGGAACATTCTAGGGAACACTAACACAGAGTGCTAACCATTGCACACTCCATCATTGATTTCAGAAGCAACATACATCTTGTATAATGCTCCCTCATGCACCCGGTCTGTCTATCAGAACTTGTTTTACTTCATTTCTGATTTAGCTCTTCATGTATCATCTTTTTCCATTGCCATGATTTAGTCATGTTTCCTACTATCTGGTGTATACAAGTTATCTATACCTAGGTAATAACACAAATAAAAGAGGAAGAAAAAGTTCAAAAGGGAAGACCCATGCCTAGATACAATTTAAAAAAAACTTTAAAGGCAAAGATAATGTTATACAAATTCATTAAAAAATGGATTACCTATGAAAAATAATGAAATCGAGTTCAAACTTTTCAACAATATCAGGAGGTACAAGACTAGAAAGTAGTTAGAATTTTAAATAATTGAATAAACAATGACCTTTAAACCAAGATCTTTGTTACGTAGCTAGAATGTTATTTTAGAAGGGAAGATTAGTACATGTATTTTAGTGTATTCAACACTAAAAATCATAAAAATTTTTACCTTGTTAACCAGCATCATAAGCTCTAAAAAGCATTAAGTAAGAACAGGAAATCAAGCAAAATACTTTATATGTCACTGAACTTGAATTTTACTTCCTGAGTTTAATCATTATTTTCTTACTTTAAACAAATAATTTGCTGGTAGTCTCAGAGTTTCTAAGTGTATCTTGATCTGCTGTACTCCTGATACATCTTTTTAGAATATTTGGAAAAAACAAAAAGTGAGAGTTTCAAAACCTAACACAATACAGCATCATGCTGCCCATTCTTTTGTATTTGACTCTAAAGAATAGTGACTTAATAGAAAACCCACAATTCCATATAAGATAACATGTAGCTCTGGGAAGTTTTCAGAGTGAAACAACCACAACCTACATAGTCCTACATGTTTTCCATTAAAATCTGAAATTACTCAGGTTAAGTATGACTGATGGGTAGTTATTCAGGTATGTATTGGGTTAATAAAATGACCAAATGACTACAGTTTGGAATTATTTGTTCACAACTTTCGTTGGTTAATTGTGAAGTTTTAAAATCAGTTAGATATGAAACATACGTGTATAAAACAATTTCCAAGTTGAAAATCTTGGATCAATCAAGTTAATGAAATGAAGAGACACTTTTCAGAATACAACATAAACATGGCACAAAATGTTCATAAATTTTGTGAACTCTGATGACTTGGGATAGATCCAATATTTCACAAACGTAGTTCCCAGACCAGGAGACTCAGCATCCCTTGGGAATTGTTAGTAATACAAATTTATGTGTTCTAACTCTAACTTAATCAGAAATTCTGGAGATAGGGCCCAGCAATCAGGATTTAACAGACTTTCCAGTGATTCTACAGTATACTCCATTTTTTAAATGACTGGAATAGATAAGCGTTCTGGACTGGGAAAATTGTTTAAACTCATAGTTTTAGTGCAGTAAATTAAAGACTGTTCACTTCCAGAAACTGAAATGCAATTGAAGGCATTATATATACAAACAATGAAAAATTGCATAAAATACCTGATTTATAATGAAAATTAGATTGGTACATTAAAAATCTTTTTAAAAACATGAAAAGACTAAATGAAAGGAGATAATATCAAATTTTTGCAAAGAATCTTTTTTATAATAAATAAGAGGAAAAGGGAAAATACAATTTGAGTTATTTAAAAATATTTGCCATTTATTAGCAATGACTGAGCAAAAACATTTACATCTGAATGTTGTTTAACCAAATTTGAACCTCCAAAATAAAAATTATTTGTCTTTTCAGACCAATTAATACCATTAAAAAACCCTAAAGTTAAATGTTGTAAAATGTAAATTTTTAATCAAATTGTTCTTATTTACCATTATATCACAGATTCTAGCAGAGTACTTCGTACCTGATTAATCAGAGAGTTACAGCTGTTGAACCAGATTAGGAAAAAAAATTTTCTGATACAGGAATCAAAAAAGAACAGACACACAGGTGTCACTGCTGATGAGCACGAAGGGGTTGAATGCCAGGAAACATGAAGACATTAACACAGAGATGTCCACCAGCCACCAGTTTGAAATCGTAATTAGAGCAACACAGAAAGATGGAAGAGAGAAAGTGAAAGTAGACAAATACACCCACCAGGATGAGGATGTGTGTGGTTCTGTCCTCGTGGGAGCATCTGGGGGAGCATCTGTTACTATAAATGTGATGGACTTGCTGCTTGTGCCTGTGCAGGGCAAGGACCACGTACCTACTAGTTTATATCATGCAGCCCAACCACATAACATCAATGAAATAAAACAGGGCTGCATGAAATAAGTTGATAGATCTATCTGGCATGACAGAGGAATAGTATCCATAATTGGTTTTCATACTTAAATTATTGAAGTTTCTTGGATGAATTACTTTCATAGAAATATAAACATTTACCAGAAGTTGAAGGATCCAGAAAAGGAAATTACAAAAGCCAATGCATTTGGGGGATCTACTTCTGAACCCCGTCCAAGAAGTCCAAGAAGTCAAGTAGTGCTGAGAGAACCTCTCTGGCCACTGTGTAAACAGAAGACAAGTTCACATCCTGCATCATCCAGGAAATATTTTAATCCAAGCTGCCATTGTCTGCGGGATCCCTTTGGAGAAAAGAACCAAATTGTTGGCTAAGACCAATTGGTTGACAATCTGATCTGTGGGTTTTAACGTGTGCACTGAGCAAAGAGAAGTTATAAAGACAAAGGTGGGAGGAGTTTCCCAGGATCCCAGCTCCAGGCTGAGGAAGACAAACCCCATTGTCAAGTAAGCATGTCCATCACTTTCATATCTAGGAGGTATTGATTTTAATTTGAGAAGAAAAGAAATGGTAGAAAGATAAACAAACATAAATGTGTTACCTTCTTCTCAGCTGCATCTACTGTTCAGTGTAACACACATTTTCCCTCTTTTGGTAACACATTTTCTTTCTTTAAATGAACTTTAAGAGTAAGTGTGTATGGGTGAGTGCTTATTAATTAAGATCTCATGATAGAATCTATCTAAATGTACATATAAAAGGAGTCGCTTGAATAAACAATGCATCAATGTTGTAAGGACAACTTAATAGATAATGACAAGAAAAAATATACATGTAATGGATTGGAAAGGAAGAAAAACCTTTTTTCCTCTTCTCCTTAGAGTATTTCTAAAATAGGATCATCAGTGTGACTCTTACCATGAACATCCTGTTCAATTTTGTAACCATCCTTGACCCAATGTTTTATGACACCTGTGTCCTGTTCTTTCTTTTCCATAGAACCCATCAGTTCCTAATGTACTGTGTAACTTAATAACTTGGACGTATCATTTATGGTCTGTTTTCCTCAACCAGAATAAAAGTTCAATGGGAGAAAAATTAATGTTTTGCATGCCAACATATTTTCAGAAATGTGTGTGACCCACACAAGCTATAAAATTAATCTTTCTTGAAACTTTGAAAAATACGTCACTGTAATATTCCTGTCTATTTGAACCACTCTGGCTACTCCTGTTGACAATTCAATTACTGTCCTCCCTTCAGTTTGAGTTCTCTCAGAGACTCAGGAATTAAAAAAGAATCAGATTTTGAAGAGAAACTACCAAGGTAATTTAAAACCCAGCAGAGTTTGTGCTTGACATCTCTCACATAGATCTCAGTATCCTCTACTGCACTTCCATTGGGATTATTATTGATTTCAAGTGTATGGCCTCCCCCACCTGTCTCTGCCACTTCCTTGGATATTTTTATTATTCACTATTATACCTTTTGGTAATTTGCACAATTAACATGTGTTTTTGACAGGTACGCTCCACTCCCCTTGCACCCATTATCACTGCAATTACAGGTGAAGCAATAATCACTTCCCAACAAGGAGATGAGATAATGGAAACCCAAACCTTCATCT